GGTTTGGGCTTGGGGTTGTAGGGTTTAGGGCTTTAGGGTTTTAGGGTTTAGGGCTTAGGGCGCATGGCTGAGGACGTGCTCGCGAGCGAGGCTGCTTTGGCGCACGGCTCATTTCGAGGCTTCGGGTTGATGCAAAGTCTTTAAGAGATGGCTTTGTAGCTTCATCGCAGTAAGTAGTGGTGAAGTGGTGCTCGTCGTTGTCGGCAGAGGAATACTGTTTTGTAGCCAACTGAGGTCAGTGCGGAAGCCCCTCTGCCAGGAGTGAGGCTGCCTGCAGACCAGTCCCAAGCAGAAGGTGGGGCGTTTTGTACAAAAGGCCTACACTCACAAGAGGATTTTTATATAAAGGTTCCTTATAGATGCTACGCTCTCACACCATAAATGAGGTTCAGAGCGTTTTTAAAAGGCTCAGGAGTTCAAAGTTCGAGCTGAAGAGTCCTGTCTCGTGGCCTAGGAGGAGTCTGGGGTTCGGGCCCAAGAGCTTCAGCCTTGAAATCATAACTAGGAGAAGCGCATCAAGGGGGGGCACGGCCAGGGAAATGCAGATTCTCCTGGACTAGAGGCAAGACGAAAAAATCGACCTGCGCAGAGAAGAAGAGATAGCGTGCTCCACTGGGCACACTCAAAGAACCCAGGAACCGTCCAACAAGCAGCCTAGGATTTGGGTTTGGCCTTCCAGGGCATGAAAAGGGACTGTGCCGCCTTCCGCATTTCAACCTCTTAGCTCCAGCTTGACCGGGGTACTTGCAGCTCCTTCCATCCACATGCAAGATGCAAAATCCAAACATCCATCTCAACCTGAACTCCTCCAGGGAGCCGGGAAGGGAGGCTGTTGCAATCTGAAAGTAAAGCTGGGGGCTTAAATAAAGAATTCGGAATTTCGAGGCATTCGGCTCGGCATGGCCTGTTGAGAAATGACGAAGTAGTTGAGAATACCTGGCATCCGGCACACTGCTCGACTGGGTCGCAGGCTGAAGGCGTTTACAACCACTCAGGAATGGGTACGTCTTGGAATAAGACCATAGGGAAAGTGAAGATTATCCTAATTTCAGCCACTCGATATCCTCAGCTCGTCTGCTCCCTACTCAAAATTCTATATTCTACCTTGCTTCACATTGCAACAGCACGGTCCACATATTGGCCGGGCCTTGCAGTGTGGGAATCCGCAAGCCCGACACCGATCCGACTGCAACGATCTTAGGCTAATAGGGCTCCACCCTAACTATGATGCCCTTCTCTAGTTCCCTGTTGGGGCTGTATTACAAATTCATCATACTTAATTCTTTTTGGATTTTATTGTAACAAAGATGCAAAAAATGTAGCCAACCAAGACCCACTTCGGCCCCAAAGGGTAACTTGTGATCTTCTTGCTGCCAGGATAAAAACCCACAAAGTCGTTGCTTCTCCCTCCCTCAGGAAAGGAACCTTCCCTCCTCAACATCAGGACCATTACGGCAAGTTCCCAATTGGAATCCGAGACAAGATCATACCGAAGATAACTCTTTTCGAAAGAAACAAGAGGAAGCCAAACCCCGCATCTGAGATTCGATATTGCGAGTTGATTTTGGAACTCGCGGTTCTTTTATGATCCTGCTTTGGGCAGTCGGCAGCTGCGGGAAACATTCGATTCATGAATTTCTGCGGCGCCCGGACTCTCACGACTTGGCACAAGAATCTCCCGCTGAATAGAGAGTCACCTGCGCGGGGGCAGCTGAAATGTCAGTGTAGGGTGGCGGGGGTTCGGTAGCTTCGCGAGGATATGACCATCCTGATCTATGAGCTTCAGCTTGCCATTGAAGCTTGAAGTCGCTGATTTTACTTCTCGTGGGGCTGTAGCAATCCATTTCCTCCAGTTGTCGCATCCTGACGGAACTTCCACTTTGGCCACTGGCTCACCGGAAAGTGTCGTACATGCAATGTAGCCATCCGCTTCTAGGCAGCTCAAGATGATGTCAGACTCAGAGGCATCAATGGGCAACTTCCATACTTCCACCTTGGCAAAAGGACCCGCAGGAGGCCGTCCAGCATCACAGGAATGCCAAAGCTTCTCATATGTGTCAGACCTGATCCCGGGTATCCCGAGGCCCCACTTAGAGGGCTTCGGCTTTGGGGTTTCTGTGCCTACAACCCCCCAAAAAAGGCGCAAGAAAAAGAGCCCTCCAAAGTAAATCGAGGGACTTGTAGCCGCTCACTTCATCCCGACGCCAGCGCACACGAGCACAAGCCTCAGCACCTCCGCGGAAGGAGTCGTCCACGATGTCGAAGAGCCTTAGCTGGCTTTGCAACTCAACTTCTTGAACCTCCCTACTACAGATTTTAAAGGAACTCAGAAAGTTTGACTCAGGCGCATGTGATATAAAGGAACTCAGAAAGTTAACGTCCTAAGAGCAGCCAAGCCCAAGATGCCCCCAATATACCAGGTTCGAGCCAGCCAAGGAACATCTCCTCAGCCAGGGACGACGCCTCTTCCGCGCCGACACAAACAGCACGGCAGGCACGAACAGCCATGTCATATACTGGTGCGATGGCCCTCGAGACCACGAGAAACGCCCACTCTGAATCCTCTCGCGGGCGCTTCGTGGACCACCTTGACACGCTAGCAACTCCTTCGGCTGAAACTTGCTCATGGCATTCCGGGTCACACTCTTTTGGCTTTTCCTCTTCTTCTGCCTCATCATCTTCGTTTGGGATGCTGCATACCACTTCAGGCTTCGAGGTTCTCTCCCCCAACGGGAACTTGAGCACCTGTGCAAAGGCCGGGAGATCGGGGGCACCCGCATCCAAGGCCCACTGGACCCCTCCCCAATCGTCGTCCTCCCTACAAGCCTCCCGCAACGACTCCGGTCTCCATATATCTTCGCGTTTGAAACCACTAGGATCCATGGCGGACCGGACCAGCTTAAAAAGCAACTCTGCGGCGGCCTCTCGTGCTGGCTCCAAAGAGGAGAAGGCCTTTGAATCAAAACGCACTTGTTTCACATAGCTGGACGGAGCCACCCATGCCTGTGCAATAAACACGGCGGGAGCTTGCCGGGTCGCAGACATGATGGCTGAGGACTGCAGTAATCCGCTGCCCTAACAATAAATACTTCCACCCCCAGATAATAAATACCAGTACCATTCTAGATAAAGGAGGCATATATATCATTAGGGGGTGGGACCCTTGTAAGAAGAAAGACTGCAATGATAGCTCTGCTCCGCGGAAATACAACAGACTAGTAGCTGTACTCCTAGGAGTATCTGCACCTGTGGCTGAACTATATTTGCTGCACATAAAGTTGATTTGCAGGTCAATGTAAGGGCTGTAGCACCCTGCGACCCAGATTACCTCCCCAACGTAAGTTAGTAAGGGCCCTGCGAAGCCACGCCTTCTGAAGCTTCACTACACCCTGCTCGCTAATCAGCAGCTTAGGCTGGCAGCGATGACCACGATGCTGGACACTGAGACTATGCCAATGCCACAAACAATGACGATGACGACTGCAATTGCGACGATTGTTATCAACAGCGATGCTGATGGTGGCGAGGCGGTTGCTGATGGTGCTCATGTGACTGCTGCTGCTGCTGCTGCTGCCGCTGCCGCGGGCGCAGCTGCTGCTACAAGTGTGATCGGCATCATCCTCACACCAGCATCACCAGCACCATCATGATGAACATCATCATTATTATCATCATCATCACCATCTTCTCAACTTCATGATCTTCGCCTTCCCATCATCACCATCACCACCACTGCCTCCATCATCAACGACAGCATCATCATCGTTTTGAATTTGGCGCAAGTGTTGGCCATCATCAGAACGAAGCGGCTTCTTCTAGGTCACACTTGTTGCAGAAAGCAGCAGCTGCTGCTGCTACTACTACTGCTGCTGCTGCTACTACTACTACCACCACTACTGCCACTACTACCACCACCAGTGTTACTTCTCGCCAAGCCAATCCCATAACCTACCGTAAGGCGCTGGAGGCAGGAGAAAAGATTGGACTGGGAGGCTGGCTAACTCTGCCAATTACACATGCGTGCCCGGGAACGCCACACTCCTCAACATTCAATGCAGGGAGAAGCTAGGACCTAAGGATTTTGGGTTCCCTGAATGGGACGCAGGTTTCGCTGGGGTGTAATTCTCAGTCTCGATGCGGTCTTCGGCGGGGAAGGGCAACTGGGTACAACACCAGAAATCCGTTCCCTTTTCCTGCTGCTTTGCAGTTGCGGCATCTTTGAACTGATACAACCAATCTTCTGTCTCCGAGTCAGGATTAGGAGCACGGAGCATGAAAGCGGGGTGCCAGTCTCACATCCTTAAACCTGCAGCCGCCCTTAACAAAAGAAAGGCGTTCAAGACTGCTGCTGGGATGAGGAGCAGTGGCGTCCAAAATCGTGAAACGAAGCTGCTCTTGGGTCAACTTGTCCGGGGCCTCTTTGCAGTAGGTCCACACATGGACTCAGGCTGCAGCAGCTTTTCGACCTCGTCTCTCTTCAAGAAGCCTCGAGTTGCTAGAGGCAGCAACATAATGTGGAGGCTAGCTGGATTCAGCTAGGGTTTAGGGTTTAGGCTCTCGCAACTCGGACATGCTGTTTAGGGGTTAGGGTTGATGCAGTCGCTGCAAGCATCTCCTGTCATGCGCTGCATTTCTCATCTGGGCAAGCAGAAGCTTCAACTCAACAAACGCTGTGTCAGGACACCGAGCTCGACAATGATGTCGGCGACAGGGCGCTTGTCCTGAAACATTCAATGAATCTGGGCACAGCTGAAACTGTTGGGCTTATGGATTCTACAGGGGCTGGATGCCCGCAACATGTCTGCGCCGCGAAACACCATCGCAAAAACACCTCCCACTTTCTCACTGCTTTGGCGCACGAGTCCAAACCTTGACCTACAGGATACAGAAGAAGCCTGAAACAGACCCTACACCCAAAACCCTACACCCTAAAACCTAAACCCAGGATTTTAACTGGTGTATGGGAATCTACTTATATACCCATGGAGTACCTCAGCCAAGTCCTTTCATGAAGACCTCAAGTAAGCAGAATAAGGTTATAGGTGGTTCTTTGCATTATAGGTATATGTGGACAATAGAAAGAAGGGCCTGTGGCTACTACTAGTTAGGAGCACTATTTGAGCTCAACTTCCCTACACAACTCCCAAAGAACCAAACTCCAAAACGCGGTGTCCAAGATTCCGTATGCATCCCAAAATCTTCAACCCAACCCAAGTAGAATCAACAAGTGCGAAACCCTCAAACCCCAAACCCCCAAACCCTAGCTTAAAGGAAGAAATTAGAAACCGCCGGCGTAAATGATCGCCTTCTACTGAATTCAGATTGAGGCCTGGTTTAACTACAAGAGTCCCTCTACATGACTACATACAAAGCCACCTTTTAGAAACCCCATAGAGCCATACAAAACCCGACACAACCCCTCCCCTCTCGTCGCCTTTACAGCCATGGCGGCTGCTTCGGTGCACTTCTTGTAGCCGATGTGGGGAAGAAGGGCGGTCACCACGCCCACGCTGTTGTAGACCTCTCTTGTTTTTCGGTTCTCGTATTTCTGGAATCATTGTAGGGGGGTGTCTTGTAGATCTCTTGGGATCAGAGCTTGGCCCAGAACAGAGCTTTAGGATCCGGGAGTGCCTACTGGGCCTGAGGGATCATAGCGCGGCTCTTTTTCTCAAGTTGTCCTGGGCGGGCAACCCCCGGGCAGGCGGGTCTTGTTGAGCTGACGAACTTGGCTTGGGCTTAAGTTGCAGGGGCCGGGGCTCCTGAGAAATACCGACATGCGTAGTTCTCTAAGACAGGGTCCCTTTCGAGGACGGCACCCTTATGAAAAGGACCCTAAAAGGGACCCGAATATAGAGAACTACTACCCATATGGGGGAAACTGACGGCACTGACTGTACTCGTCTTTGCAGGACTGAGGTGAATCCTGAACCAAGGTGTTTCGCAAGAGCAGGACTGTTCATGGCCCGTCTGCCGAAGCCACTGGATGGATTGAGGTCGACCCTTTCTTTTGCTTCAAAACTTCAATCAGAAGCTTCCCAGCCTTCATGCAGTGAGGCTTGGGGCTTCTGGGCTTCCGTTGGATTTGAATTCATGAGTCTGAAAGGAGGATGTCCTCCTGCAACGCAGGCACGAAGCTCCGTGTGAAGCCCACTCTAGGCCTAGGCGAACACTTTTCATAACACTTGCCTCTGCCCCCATCACCACACTACTACACCGCACCCGTGAAGCTAACTGCAGCAAGAGGCACCATGTCCTTGCAGTGCTCCTTGTTGGCAGTGATCCCTTCGATGCAGTGGCTCCGAAGAGTGTTGATGCCTCCAAAGCGGAGCCATGGAGTGGCATTCATTGAGGGCTTTTAGGGGCTATATTATACTATATATTGTATCATTTTGTATTTATGTTATACACAGTATTTTATATTGCAATATATATTCTATATTATGCTTTACTTCTGGGATTCTAAACTCACATCCTTCGGGTTTTCTGTGAACGATCTCCCTTAGTTCGGAGCCCCGATTTCCTCGCCCCTGCCTCGTGCCAGTACTCTCAGGGTGCTGAAGAGCTTGTAGATGATTACCTGGATTGCATCCAAGAGATCACCGTGAACTCAGAGTTTCTCATCGACAACTCACACAACTGAGCATCCGAAAGTGTCTCCAGACGTTAGGTGCTAAGGTCCACTCGTGCCGATAACATTCCTGCTTAGCATTCTTGTTCTTGTATATTTATTAATGCTACATTACTACATTATTGCATTTATTGCCACTGTTCTTATCGTTCTGGAGATGCATCCTTGCAATGTAGGCTGTAGGGCAACAGCTGCACTGGTCACAAGAAGCGCGGCAAGATGCACAAAAATGCTCAGTTAGCTTTCCGAGGCCGCAGCAACCAAGCTAGCAAACTGCCCCAATATCGATGCAGCACTGCGTGGATCCATCGACTGTCAAAGCCCCGCAGTCGAACCGTTACTCTATCCTTCGGAGTGCCCTAAAGGCCACAAGGCGAAGAATTCAGGAACAAAGAGCAGGCTCCATCACGTTCAGCTCCAGCTGTCCAGCCTAGCGAAGTGTATATACCCACCAGGTCCAGGGCAGCATATGGGCAGTTCTCTAAACTAGGGTCCCTTTCAGGGTCCTTTCGTTTTAATAAGGGTGCCGTACTATATTTGGGGACTCAAAAAGGGACCCTAATTTGGAAAACTATCCCACATGCGCATGCACAAAAAAAGCACCAGACTGATGCACAGCACTTCTACTCTGTAGAGTTGTACCGATTGTACATCAGAGAAAGAGCTGCGACTGTCGTTTTCTACAGCCCAAGGCCCAGCATGAGCAAATGCAAGATTTGCATCTGAAGTGATGCGAAACATGCTACAGTCTGCATACAAAGCACAAATGCCGCATGCCCTGCACCACATCATTCTAGCACGAGCGGAATCCAGGCCCAAGTGGGTGACACCCCAAATACCAAGGAGTCTACCCTCGCCACCGAACCGACAATCCCCGAATTCAGAGCTCCCCGAGGAGTCTACTGAATTCTGAATTCTGTTGGTACTGTACACGCTTGATTAGTGCTCGCCAGAACAGATTGAAACTCGAACATCATCTCAAGTATGACGATTCCAAGCTTCCCTAGATGTCTTCGAAACTCCCGGATATCTCGTCAATCCCGTTTCCAGCACCTCGGCGCCAATTGCCACCGTCACGTCATTCCCCATCGCTTCAAACGCACACCTCTCGGCTCGAGGCTCCAAGTAGGCATAATGTGTCCGGAAGTTTTGGCATGGGATGGGACACCCTTTACGGCAGAAGGATACCCTGGAAAGTTGCATGGATCCTTAGGGAGCGACTTTCGGGTGAGTGAGGTGCTACTAGCAGCGGGTGAGCTGTTTGCAGAGGACTTGATACCAAACGTATGCAAGCCCGGGCACATGTTCATCACCTCTGGAATCACTGGGTTGACCTGCACGGCAGGCAACCACTGATGGTTTGCAGCGCATGAAAAAAATGAAGGCCGCTCTCAGGCATGTTTTGGACTTGTTTCTTTCGTGCTGGGCTGGCCCTGTAGGTGCGGGGTCTATGATAGCAAGTATATTACTGTAAAGGAACCCAAGGACTACCAGTAATTATTCAAATCCATCCTCTAGATTAGTCGGCAAGACTGGCGCGATCAGGTTAGGGGCAAAGCCGGTCCTGCCTCCGCTCTCTCTATGGACGACAGAGGTTCAATGCTGAAGAGAAGGGTCGCGCAATTCCAGGACGCCACAAACCACGCAGAAAAGTCCCAACAAGTATAACAAATATGAAAAATACAACATATAGTTCAAACACACCCGCTCCCCCCCAACCTGCAGCAACAACATGATCAATATTGCCGAATTCCACCGAATTCAAAGTAAGCAGGCACGAAGCCCAGGATGGTAGTAGCGGGGAACCTCCACCGAAGCTGGCATCGGAAGCTTGTCTGTGCACATGGAATGGCGAGAAGGCATCGCAGAATCGGCAACTTTCCCAGAAAAACACCCGAAGCCACTCACAAACTTTGCCGAGGAGTCCTGTCTCCCTCCACTTGCTGCCACTCAGCAAAACTCATGACAAATCCTGCTTCATACCGCCTCCTCTTAGGATTCCTGATCTGAATCCGACAGGTCAAGGATGCTTCGGATAACTCGAGTTTAGGGTATAGGTTTAGGGTTTAGGGTTTAGGGTTTAGGGGAGATCCAGCCTTCCCCGGCATGATCGACGAGCCTGCCGAGGCTGCAGAAGCAGTCACTAGGAGTCGTCGTCTTTGCTTCTTCATCCTTGTCGCGCGTCTATTGCTTGTCAGATTGCGTGAAACAGCCACATACGATTGCTACCAAATCAGTTATACTACCTATCAAAAAGTCCTGAAATCCTAACCCTTGTAAACCATAGCACTGATGCGAGCCATAGCTGAAATTATCGGTAGAAGACCTCCCCGCCAGAAGCAGCCTTTGAATAGGGGGCTGAAAAAGTAAAACTCAGCTGTGGGGCATAAGACAGTTCTAATTTATAGGTCTCGCGATGTTAGTCTATAGGCATATCATACTCTATAGGGCTGGGCATATTATCATCAAACCATAAATGCTTTTAAACTCTGAAACTAATAGCTGTACTATGCCTTGTTATAGCATAATACGGAGCCCAAAGGCATCGCACGTGTTCCGGCCTGGTGCCTTTGGTGGCAAGTTGATCTCCGCGAGTCCACAGCGTGGCCCTGCCAGCTCGGCGTTTACTTTCGACTCAAAGTCTTATAGTAATGTAGGGGCCTTAATAATTAGAATAGGGTTTTGGGCTCCTTTATAGTATATCTATAACAAGGAACCTTAACAGTACTATTGGTAATTATTTAGGCTTCAATAAGCTCACGAAATAAAAGGTTTTGGGTATTGGGGAACTAACTAAGTCTTATAGTAGAAACCAGAAGGTTGGAACATGGGTTTAGGAGGATTGTGGTGCTAGGATCCCTTCTACTTTACCTCAAGGGCATGAGGATAATCATGTTCCAACTTTCTGGCTTCTACTATAAGCTCTAGGAGTTTTTTCCCTCCCACGAGGAGTTTAGAGAGTTAGGGTTTTGGTCTTAAGGTGCGGGAGTTTAGAGAGTTACGGGTTTTGGTCTTGAGGTCTAGGAGTTTACAGAGTTAGGGTGTTGGTCTTGTAGTCTAGGAGCTTAGAGAGTTAGGGTTTTGGTTTAAAGGTCTAGGAGTTTAGAGAGTTATGAAATTAGTCCCAGGATTAGATTACCGGACTACGGGTTGAAGCCGGAGGCCATCATAAGATGCTAGGGTAGAGCAGGGCCCTCACCCTAGGAAAGTTTGACTTGAAGGGAGCAACCGTGCTACGGCTTGGGAGACTCATGGTACGTATGCCCTCATAAGTCACGGCCCATTGTGTAGAGTTGAAAGTTTACCTAAGCATAGAACCGGAAGACAGGGTACCACAATTCCGCGTCTTGGCAAACCCAATCCGAATCCAGGTTCAACATCCCGCCTGAGGACAAGAGCCGCAAATCGTTGCAAATCTTGGAAACCTTGGCCTCGGCTTGCTGCGTGGAAGCTCATGAATCCGAAGGGTTTTAGGGGTTACAGTAGAAGCCCAGCAGTTGGAAACCCAATAGCTTCTCTCCTTACGCGTAATGTATGGGGAATCCCAGTTCTTAATCCGGATTCCGACTTTTTCGGGTTTCCTATAGGGGGGGCACAATCTCAAACATGCAGAAGCCCGATCAAGCATGAACCTTTCGATGGATCCGTGGATTCTGGCTTGAGTCAAGTCAGTTCTCTAAATTTGGGCCCCTTTTTAGGGTCCTTTTTTTTTATAAAGGTACCGTACTATTTTGGGGACCGAAAAAGGGGACCCTAATTTAGAGAACTACCCATATCATGTACATCTATGATCCGATACTCGGGGTGCGGGAGCCAGAAAAGAAGAGCCATCGATTAGTCTGGATTTCATGGCAAGAATGGCACACGATGAAACATGGTGGACTTACAGCAGTACTGTGATGAGTCACGACAAGTTCGTAAATACCAGGCTCACTTGGGCAGGGAAAAGCCTTCATGAGTCTCTCTCGTTGCCAGGCGACATAACGTGAAATTTACTTAGTGCAGAGCGATGTTTCTAGTGGCTCAGCGGGCGCAGCTCTTCAAATTCATGGCATGGCCAACTTGGACGAGAGTAGCTTTCCAGCTACCCAGCATCTTCCTCCGGTAGGAACCCCCTTCGGCAATGAGTTGCCCTTGCCTAAACCCCAAATTACAAAGGCTCCTCCTTGCAACTACTCTCTACTGCACCTGTGAGCATGTCTTCCGACGTCCTATCGGGCAACCTCAGTAACTCTGGAACTAGGGAGGCGGCTGCGATGCGGCGCAGCATTCCAGAGAAGAAGATCATGTCACCTCCATTTCATGGCAACCCCCAGATCTCTCTCTGCCTGCCTGTCGGACTCTCTCTCCCTCTCTCTACCGCTTCTTCAGCACCTTCAAGAAGGTGCAGGCTGCCCTATAGACACTGTACACCCCATATTCACCCTCTTCGCGTCGCCGCATTCCCCGGGACCCTTGCGGAAACCCCCTGCTCGCGCTCTGGTGCTCGCACGGTGCTGGCTAACACCCTCTCTTGACTCTTTTTCTCTCGCTTTTCGGGCTGGGTCAGCCGCTCCGAAATGGCGGCGCTACTTGGTGAATGCCAGACATCTTCACAGGAACAAACTTTCTATCGGTCAAAGCAGTGCCTGCCCCCTCTCGACGCCTAAACCCTCTGGCAAAGTAGTTTACGGGGAGGCTCTTACAGCAAACTCGCTTCCTGCAGAAGCAAGAAGAAGAAATCACGAGGCACGCCCATGCTGTTCAACCTACAGTATATGCCCGAAGGCACGAGACGTCAAACAGTGATGGCACAAGCAAAAAAAGATGCGATGCTCATAGTAGCATTCCCACAAAAAAGACGAAACACAATAATAACAAAAACACATAAGAAGACGACAAATGGTAGCAGCAAGCACAAGAACCAACAACCACAATGACCATAACCCTAAACCCTAAAACCTAAAACCCTAAAACCCTAAACCCTAAACCCTAAAACCCTAAACCCTAAACCCTATGACAATCGCAGTCTGTATTTGACAGCCGGCTCTCTCGGCTCCGGTGTGGCGCCTACGCTGCTGGAGGCTTCGATGAGATCGTCTGCCAAAATCATGGGGAAGCCAGTGACGGATCGCAGCTCCTGTCCGTGGCTGGAGGTCTTTGGGATTTAGCGTTTTTTTTTTGGTGGGGGGGGGAGGGGGGTTAGAGTTTAGGTTTGTTCACCCAAAGCCCTAAACGCACTGAACCCATTAAGCCATCCCCAAACCCCTAACCCCTAGTGGCCTAGTTCTTGTGGGCCTGAACTGCGATCTGCGAGAAGTGGGGATCGGCAGCGATGCCGGTACCGATCGCAGTGCCGCCCAAGTTCGAGGTGCAAAACCTGAATTCCGATTCTGGCTGCACGGGAACTTCATCGGCAGTGGAGGGGTTCTTTCCGATGTAACGGTGGTTTCGGGCGTTTTTTGCAGCGACCCTTAAGGGTCTCAAGCGCTATGGTTTAGGGCCTCTGGACTCTATCAAAAGCTTCCTGCCGCTTTGGCCTCTCTTATCCTCTTCTAATGCTGGCTTAGGCATGGCTGGCATGGCTTTCCCAGAGCCTCCTAGGTCCCCAAATGGGGGATGCTTGCCCAAACCATAATGGTAAGGGCCCGTTATAGCAACCCTTCACCGTGCTACTATACAGGTACTCAGGGCCCTTCTACTGCGGCCAAATCGCCGGTTCGTAGCGCTGCTCCTCGGCGAAAAAGAGATAGTATATAGAAGCTTCCAGGTTCGAGCAAGCAGACTCTGATTTGTTGACAGGTCTCAGAGTGTGACAGAGGTCCGAAAAAAAAGTCTAGACTGTTAGGCGAAGCAGTCCGGCCTTTAACTTTAACTGTTGCTCGCCGAAGTCTCAACGCCTCGATGTCGCTGGCCACACTATTCCCGTAGGCTTGAAACTCCTGGCGAGTGCGATGAAAAAGCGCGGGACTCAAAGAGCCATCTGCCAGCCTCCTTTGTGAGCCGCTGGGGTCAACTTATTGTGACATGCTTCCATGTCCATTTTGCCACTGTACCACAACCCAGCTCATTTCAGAGGACTGTTGGGTTGTTGATCGGTGGTTGTGGTTTGGGCTCTGTTGAGATGCACAAGTTATCATCGGGTTGTTGCCACTGCCGCTGCTGTAACAACAGTCTTAGAAACACTTGGGAGATTGGGGTCAATGCCCATGACACTCCATCGCCAGCTCGAAACCGTGCGCCCCAAATCCGAACCGACCTCGCACATCTAGTAGTGGGACCGATCACGGAGGGACCAGATTAAAGAATTGGGCTCGAACCAGCAAAGATAGTAGGATGCATTCAAAGCCGGGCACTATGGGTTCAGAGCCTTCGATCTCATTATCATTTCTTCAGTCCGCCGTCGGAGATTTCGGCACCGGATCCCATTCCCGATGGCCCCTCCCTGGCCGCCTGCCCCAAAGTCATGGGAACTGCATCCTGAAGCTGGGTACGGCCCATCCTCAGAAGGGTAGGGTTTAGGGTTTAGGGTTTAGGATTTAGGGTTTAGGGCCCATGCAGCTTGGCTGATGCCGGAGTTGCAACAGTTCTTCGGATCCTTGCGTTGGGGCCTCTGCGGCTGGAGCCTTCGATTTGGCAAGGTTGTCGCAAATCGAGTCGGCGTGCTTGCTTGGCATCCCCCTTAAAAGTTGGTTTGGCCAAGCAGTGGTGGAGTGAGAAGATGCTCGAAGCACTCAGCATCGGAACTACTGCCCTTTTTTTTTTCCTGCTGGACCCAAAGCTAGTTCCCTCAACCCTGAACCCCAGATCCCCCAAATCCAAAAGCGTATACCGCCACGAGCATCTTCACGACGTCGGAGAACTCCTTGGCCTGAAGTCGTAGGTAGGTCCGTGGTTCACAAATCGGGCGAGGCAAGTGCTATGTCAGGATCCAAACACCTAGTCATCACATATTCACATATGTACTAACCTCGACAGTTCATGTACCGTCCTGCTCCCTCTGATGCCACCCGAAACCCCAAAAAGATTCCCCCTGCCTTGTCAAAGAATGCTTTGCTGAGATTCTTGATGGCAGTCAACAGCTCGGAATGCATGAGGATGCATGCGATTTTCGCGGAAGTGGGATACCTCTGTTGTGCAGAACATGTCTCGTCATGCAGCCTTTTGCAATTGGTCTGCAGCGACTCAACCATGACAGAAAGAAAAGGCACAACCGCAAGCAGTGCAGCTTTAAGCTAGCAGCTTCTCATGCAGCTCCAGGCACCCAAACTCCCACCTCATACCTATTTTTGGTCAAGAAGTTCAAGTTTAAACCCTGTTTGTTTACGTCCCCTAAACTCTTTGTTGTTGGCATCTCCTTAACCCTCTCTCTCTCTCTCTCTCTCACTGACTCAGAGGTCTGTCAGCCGCCCTAAAACCATTCGCCCAGCCCTCCTGCTCCCATGACCTTCAGGGTCCCAGCTGGGGGCAATCGGCGTGAATTGCGGGGATTGAGACGTCTAGGATCTCGCCTAGGGCGGGTCAAATACAGAAGCCGACAATAATGCCATACTTACCCATACTCTGCCTTAATGTTCCCTAGTATGATAAGTCTATAGTATATAACCCGTTCGGAGATGTCCACAAATACAATATAGTTTACCAGAACCAGACAGAACAAAAATAGACGGCAACATACACCATGCAATACGCTGTAACTAATGCAAAGTTGTGATTCTACTACATGGTTTGTGCCGATAGAAGAAAAGGGGCGAGTCATTGGTGGACTGGCCCTTGTTGACATCGTCATTCGGGCTGCAGAACTCGTACTGACCACGCTCCTGGTGCTCAAAAGGAAAAAATGGCGCTGCCCGGTTTGAATTAAGAGCCGGGAGGTACTGGCTTCTCCCTCCATCGGCCTATGGCTTAGGGTTTAGGGTGCAACTGTCCCAAAACCCGGTTCGAGTTATCAAGGCTCCTATGCAAAATCTTTTGAAACCACTACCATGGCTCATTATTGAGGCCCCGTTGTTGAGTCCAAAATATCCCAAAGGCGCCTTGCCGAGCAACTCGAGGGCTCTGTTTGCAATGACCTTCTTGCAGGGTTTCGGGTTTAGGGTTTAAGCGTTTAAGGGTT